CCAACACATACTTCAAAAAGAGCCTAACATATTGTTCCATGCACACACAGTACAAGAAATATGACGAAACTCTTAGTTTATGAACTAATTAATAATTTATTTTATTTTTTTGTAAACGAACTAATTAATAACTTATATGTTCAAAACAAGAAAACCTAATAATTAATAATCTATTTGTTCCATTTGATGTCTTAGGTCAATTTACGAAGATTAAGAAATTACATAACTTATATATAAATGTATGTATTACATGAAAAACAAAAATTAACTAAAAAAAATTTAACCAATAAGAAAAGACATTGCCTAATACATTAATAAAATAAAATTTTGGATAGAAACTTCAAAGAAAAAAAAAATCAAGTAAAATGAAACAAGAAAAATTCTACGACATCTTATCAAATGAAAAGAAGATGAAGTAATAATCTTGACCAAAACATCTCATTCAAAAAGCAAAATGCAATTAAGTCGATACAAAAATTGCAATGAAAAGTGCAAAAAGAAGAGATTATTATCATTATTATCTATGACAAACACATCTGTAATGATAAGCACTATTGATAGGGTCATTGCCTTCGACTGGGACTTGCTCAGCTCTGCATTTGTATCTGCATCCTCTGCACTCGTTGTACGTACAAGTTGGTGCAGTCGACCCTATCATATTCCTCCTCCTTAATTTCTGCTTTAAGATTTTGTCAGATTAAGCATACATAAATAGTTCATATAAAACTATACAAAACAGCTACTAATCTATTGATAAAACAATAATTCTCTCTATGGGAATTTACCAGGAGATGTACTTGTGAGGGAAGTGAGTCCGTATCTTCGATAGAACGAGCTCTTGAGGCTAATTCCAAGGAAAAAAAAAATACAAACGAGAGGATTTTTAAAAAATTTAGTTGTATATTAATGTGGAAATAATAGATTGAAAGAAGATAAATATATGTAAAGGAAAAGGGTTTAAAGAATAAGACCTTGAATTACATAATTTCCAAGAAACAAACCAAAGAGAAGAAAGAAGAGGTATGTGTGTCGTGGCTTGATGATG